TTTTGTTATAATAACGTTAAGCTCTTTATTTAGCCTTGCATCATAAAATTCGGGTGTTAGATTTGCATCGTCGTCTTACAATCATTTCTAGCATTAAGTTTAACTTGCATTTATTTGATAAATAAATAGTTTCACCATTCGCTATTTTTTCAATCGTATTCAGCTTTTCTTAATTACAATATTGGTTTACGATATACGTATTCAGAACCTTGAATTACTCTAAGATAGTATTTAAATTTACCTTTGCATTGCCACAATCAATAAATTAACAGTTGTTATATGCAATAACTAAGTTTCTCCATGTATCTGCTTTCTTATCCATTGCATTAAATGATAGGCTCATCTTGTCTTCATTAAGTCACATCATAATTCTGACTTCAAAAAAGTCAGATTATCTTAGCTACCTCATTTAATTTTCTTATTCTCAGAATGCGAGTATTGAGATAGCTTGTGTGTTCACTCCTAAGCACACATAACTCATTAATTTTTGATGCTTCCGAACTATCATTTCTTGAACAAGAACTTAACCACCCTATTTTGCTTGAGGTGGTTTAAATATTGCTAGTGAAGTTTATCCTACATGGCTACAAGTAGACCCCACGATTCAAATAAAACTCAGTCTTATCTCCTGGAGGTTTTTCATTTAACTAATAATTACTGTTAATTCTGAAACATCAAAAATAAATAGTTTCTTCAATTGAAATGACAACATGTTTACTCCGACAATCACACGATAAAATCTGTCGCTTCGAAATTCTTATGTTATTTGGGTCATTTGCAGCCAAGGCTGTGTAGCGGAGTGTTAATGTGTTACTACGAATCCTGTTGGGTGTGTCGATAAGATTTAGGCGAGTTTGAAATTATCCTTCACTCTGGCATCGTGAAGCCTACTAACGTCGTGGTAAAGATTCTCCCCTTAGATAGCCTTCAGTGACCGAGGATGATTAAGTTCTTGATAAAGAACGCATTAATTTCTGGTTCGGCTTGAGTCTTTCTCTTATCTAGTTGTTTTTTTCTGAAATAATCATTAATCATCTTGAGCCACAGCTTATTTTACCTTGGTCAAATGCACCCAAATCCTCAGCTCTTCGTGACAGTATCATTCTTTATTTACGCCCTTTCTTTTTCTCAACTTGTTAGTTAGCTTTCAAACTTCCAACAATGACTACCTAGAGACCACTCGGGCGAGCGGAATGGTAACTAGATGTCTTCTACTGTCTCTTGTTTGCAGACACGCTTATCCGCAACCAATGATATTTACTGGGGAGAGTATTCTGGCTGGTATGCAAGACGGGATGAAGCCTTCTATGCTGATCATGAGGTTGTTTCTATGGCCGATTTTACGGCCCATGGTGGTAACAGCTGTAGCCATGTTCCTTCTCTGGCTCACTTATCTGCCAAACATTTGGTAATGCAGGGTCGATCTACTTCATCGGAGCTAGCGAGCCAAATGGTGTCCCGAGACACAGGTGCCCCCGTCGAATGGTTACAGGAGGAGACATGTTTTTTTCGACTAACCTCTTACCGAAATCGCCTGCATGCTTGGCTGGACTCAGGAGGTAATCTGTCTTGAACTATAATTCCTTGCTTGTCTCCTCGAAGCCTGTGAGCTAGATTTTAGAGATTATTTTAAAATCTATTAACATGCCCCACTCATGCAAAATTCATATCTTTTTACGTGCAAGATGAAGTAATTTGTCATTTGATGATCCCTTAGCTGCAGGTGAATATTTTTCCCAAAATCTAATTTTCACTGCTGACGAGCATTTTATATTAGCCAATTCGAGAGCTTGTGTATTATGTGTAGAGAGAATGAAGTGGCGACAATAAATTACTGCGCCGCTCTGGTGGATTGAATTCAAAAAATATTTATTTTGCTTTCAGCTATAAAAAATCAATTATTTGGTGTCATGAATATTTATCACTTTAAGGTGGTACATAATTTTTCATTGTTCACTGTAGCAAGGATGTCTTTTTCCTGTAAAATTTGCTTTTGGTTATCCTAATTTTGCATTTTTTTTCGAAATCCTTTATGTGTATTTTGAGCTCTCGTAATCCATGTAAATTTGTATTCTCAGCTATCAAAAATAATTGTCTCCTCTTGTATATGCATTTTATCTCAAGGCTGTAGTCATCTTTTGCTTTATCCATTTTTTAAATAAATTTTATGGCTTTCATCTTGACACCTCTTTCTATAATGTTGTATTTCATCACTAGTGTTTTCTGCGAATTCATCTAGTCAAGCAATGTGGAAAAAACGAGCCCACGAATTAGTCGACAGCTCTGGCGATCTCTCTGTCTCGCGGCCCAATGATCGCCTCAATTGGGCGCTTTCTGTTCCGGGCACAAATGGCAAACACAAGGTATGTTTTACAACTATTTCTCACATTTTTATTTGCTTCTGATCTCATTTTTGTCGCCGAATCTTCACTTCCTACTTAGTGTTATTTGCCACAATTCGATCTTCAGCCAATCTATTCTGAAACCTTTCACAATAGTAATTATTCCCGCACCTATCATGATTTTGATGTTGAGATCAGTTTCTCGGTTATTTTATGGATTGG